TTAGCTGTAGTGGGACTGCAAAGAACCTAAATTTATTGAGAAACTAGTTATTAGCCTTGTATTGTTGATACCTTTTCTCATATGGAGTAAGCTGTCTCAGACCATAACACTAATGTATATTCAAATTTAGAAAGTTAGGATTAGCCCACTTGGTCCTAGGCTATAACACTCTATTCAACTAATGGAAAAGTTAGGGTTAGCACACTTGGTCCTAGGCTATAACACTCTATTCAACTAATGGAAAAGTTAGGGTTAGCACACTTGGTCCTAGGCTATAACACTCTATTCAACTAATGGAAAAGTTAGGGTTAGCACACTTGGTCCTAGGCTATAACACTCTATTCAACTAATGGAAAAGTTAGGGTTAGCACACTTGGTCCTAGGCTATAACACTCTATTCAACTAATGGAAAAGTTAAGATTAGCCCACTTGGTCCTAGGCTATAATACTGATGCAGGTTAAGAATCTTGTAACTTTATTTCTGGCAGCTGTACCGACTTGTTTGCCCCTGGGTCAACCTGTGGGACCATTGCAAGTAACACCAGAGGAAGGCGAGCGGCTAGTGTGCTAGAGTCTCGGCAGTTTGTGCTGGGGGCTGACCTGGAGGATGACTGTGTGGAAAAGAAGTACTGCAACGGCCCGCTCACCGCCGATACTACCTACTATGTCAAACTGCGAGGTTACACTGCATCTGGGGAGTATCAAGAAACGGCTTATTCTGAGGCTATAAAAACAGGCATGAGAATATAATGATTGCATGATTGAGATGGTTCATGGTCACCACTAACATTAGGCTACTAACTTTATCGTTGGTGTTATTGACTTGGCCATGGGAAGCTGGTTTGTAAGAGAACTTATCGACTAGAGATGGACTGGTACAAATAAAAATATTTAAAAAATAAGTTTAAATCATTGGAGCATGATAAAAATATTTCAATAGGATCTTCAAACAAAAATTCTTCAGAAAACGGTTTCTTGAAACATTGAGAGATGATTTCTTTACCAATGTAAATCAGATGGAATCATTATTTTCATTTAAAAATCTCTTTTCCCCTCCAACTGGGTGTAGAAATTCTAAAACAGAGACGTCACTGACTATATTGACTGAGGATTTTCTACTTTTTCTCCAGGGCAATAAAGACACTAATTTATGCACTTCACAGCTCTACAAAGGTCCATAAAAAAAATATGACTTTAATTAATTAACAGGATTATTAAATGAAATTGATCTTAAAAATATTGTGCTCCATTTATCTACAAAACTCCCATTGTTTCTCTATGCTAGCGCTGCCCTGTGATGTTCTGTTGTGGTGATTTTCTTACTGGAAACTTTTGTTTTTTTTGCAGTGTTAGCTCAGCCGACCACCTCGGTAAAATTTCATCACCTTAAAAACCTAAATTCAGCTTTGCCCTTTACGCTTTGCTCAGGGCTCAATTATAGCAGATCCAGTCAAACTGAGCGGGTCATGATAGTCTGATAGGCGCTAGAGCTGTAGCTCCATTGCAACTTATTAGCAACTTATATTCATCACATTCTTGATGCATTCTTATTCAGCACGCTTTGCAAACTATAATGGATCTCATTGGCTTGCTTTTCTCCAATTGCTTATTTGTCTGTTGATAGTGTATTGCTGTCTATTGATGGTGGGTTATTGTCTATTGACGGTGTGTAGTCTATTGATAGAGTGTTGATGTATATTGATAGTATGTTGTCTATTGATAGTGTGTTGTTGTCTATTGATAGTGTTTTGTCAATTGATAGTGTATTGCTGTCTATTGATAGTGTGTTCTTGTCTACTGATGGTGTGTTGTTGTCTACTGATGGTGTGTTGTTGTCTGCTGATAATGTGTTATTGTCTACTGATAGTGTGTTGTTGTGTTTAAAGGTAACCTCCTCCTTCCACATGAATCTTTAAGATATTTTTAATATCTTCTGGTGCCGGGAGCATAATCAGTTATAATTAAAAGTGTCTGTAATGCACCAAAATATGTAACAAGACCTTAGACCATGTTATTTAAAAAGACCTTGGACCAACTTATGTAACAAAGCCTTAGACCAACTTATGTAATATGACCTTAGATCACCATATATAACATGACCTTTGACCACCTTATGTAACAAAACCTTAGACCACCTTATGTAACAAGACCTTGGACCACTTCATATACCAAGACCTTAGACCATTTTCTGTAACACTTACACAAGTAGATAACTGCTGTATGTCATGAGGAGGTAATTTATAGTTTCAAACTTTTGTTGTTTATTTATGTATTATTTAATGTGATGACCAAGCCACCTTCGTGTGAGTGATAGGAATGAATACATCTTTTCTTTAATGCATAATTTTTATGTCATCTATATAAAGTATATCATCTGTCACGATTCAGTGTGCCCGCCCGGTTACAAACTTTGAATGTTCATTTTTTAAATGTCATTCAGGGTAAACAACAAATCTGAATTTTTTCCTATTGTTTCATTGCATCTTTTTTTTTTCCTAATCAAATTTATTCCAGATGAACATCATTTTAAATTTGCTTCTGTTTCAGAGCATTTATCCTAATCCAATATTGTATGTTGCCTGTTTGAACATTTGTTTTTACCCCTTATAATAATCCCATATTTCAGCATATTAATAACCAGCAGAATTTTTGTCTATCTACTGTTGGTAGTTTTTTTAAAGTAGTTTTTTTGTTTTGTTTTTCCTTTAGTTTTTTTTATACCTGGCTTACAAACTAATCTTTATTTAAGGTTTTCCCAATGGTGCCCACCCCATTGCTTATAACCCAACTCAAATAAATCCCAATTTCCTGAACTTTTAATTTCACCCCTGATATACAGTTTCTCAATTTGAGTCTTTCACCCCTGATATACAGTTTCTCAATTTGAGTCTTTCAAGACCAATATTTTGCTAACCAAACAAACGCCTAACCTCAAATTTTCTTTTATTGTTTTTTTTTTTTTTGGTATAACAGAAATTTAGAGAGATATATTTTGTAAATCTTGCTTGTCTTTTCGTCAATTTAAAAATTTTTTGGAACATATTTATTATTTGAAAATCAAATTTTATTAAAATAATTCCGTCAGGACCATCAGATGACTGTTTAGTTCTAAGACAATGTGTTTCAAGTTTTAAAAGTCTCAAAGAGTTCTCTTAGAACTTGTATATACTGAACAATTTTAGTATGAAATGTCATCTTGAATTGGTAGAAAAACCCATTGGTTGATGCAGTGTCGACCATTATTATTATTTCAATCTTTTTAAGAGTTTGACATATTTGACTTGCAGATGAAGGCCCAGCAGTGAACCAGGCAGCAACTATTGGTGGCATCATGGGGGCCATCGTCATTGTGGCCATCATCAGCGTTATTGTCGTCGTCATGGTGGCACGGTTCAAAAAGCGCCCCAAACGGGCGACCAAACTCTCCGGACCAAAGTCTAACTGGGAGCAGTCTACGATGAGCCGGTTCAGGTAAAACTTGTTACATTTACTTCATTTTGTGTTTAAACCCAGGTGGGCAGGATGTCTTGGGGGTGTACAGCAAATACTATACTCTACAAGAGGTAGCTACTTCAATAAGGGGGTATATGAGGCAAGCACTATCCTCTACATTGGGTAGCCACTTCCAATGAGGGGTCAGGGTTGGGGTTCATTCCCTAATTAATCTAAGCAGAACCCTTGAAAGATACTGTGATATTTTACAGTACTTTACAGTACTAACCAGGTATCAGACAAGATGAGCAACATACTGGTTACAACATACTGGTTACAACATACTGGTTACAACATACTGGTTACAATATACTGGTTACAACATACTGGTTGCAACATACTGGTTGCAACATACTGGTTACAACATACTGGTTACAACATGCTCATTACAACATGCTCATTACAACAAATCAGTTACAAAATTCTGTTTACAATTGTTAAAAATTTACTTGAGCAAAGCTCCACTTGTCGGGCAATGGAACCCTGGGTATCCTACGTAAAAGGCAGGGATGTTTAACACTATTATTCCGAAAGCACTGCATGAGAGTGTTTGCTGGGGTTTTGGGGGTGGGGTGGTGGTGAGTAATACCCTCTACACCAGAATGTTTTTCTGGTCTTAGCTTTTGTAGAGTGAAATATGTTAAAGCTTGATATTGTAGAGGAATGAAAACTTTTGACTGTCAACATTTGAAAGAAGAAAACATCAGTCTGTTTCTGTCCTCAGTCGACCGGTCAAACTTGCTGACTTCCCTTCTCATGTGAAGAAAATGTCTTCAGATTCTGACTTTAAGTACGCTGAGGAGTATGAGGTAAGTGTATGATGAGCGGGATGTATTTATATGATGATTCATGAGGTATTTATGCATTGATATGATGATTATGATGTATTTATTTATTTGTATGATGATTATGAGTTATTTATTTGTATGATGATTATGAGGTATTTATTTATATGATTAGTATGAAATATTTTTTTATGATGATTATGAGAGTTTTCAGGAGCTAGAATATTTCAATGCATTCAATTAGGTACTGTCCCATGGTCAGACTTAGTTGTCTGCTTGCCATATCCACTTGTACACATTCACAAAATAGTTTCTGTTTGTTACATAAGTTTCTGCTTGTCATATCCAGGTTTTAGTTACAGTCTATTTAATTCTTATTTTTCAATAAGATTCTTAGTCTCCATCAATTTCTTTCAGATTCTATCAAATGTTTAGATTCTGACATATTTTTCTCAGATTATATCATAATTTTATTAGATTCATACATGTTCACTACTGCTCTAACACGCTGTTATTAGATTCTATCCAACTCTTACCAGATTGATGAAGATAAATGAGATAAATTCTCATTATAATCTGTACATGCAGCAGAGATTGTATATGTACAGCAGAGATTCTGTATGTACAGCAGAGTATCCTGTGTGTACAGCAGAGTTTATGTTTCCACAGGATTTAAAAGAAGTAGGTCGGGACCAGCCATGCTCTGCGGCAGAGTTTCCTCCAAACAGGCCCAAAAATCGTTTCACCAACATCCTACCCTACGACCACTCCCGTGTCAAACTTCTGCCGACAGATGATGAGGAGGGCTCAGATTACATCAATGCTAATTACATGCCCGTAAGATAAATAATGTTTGTCTTGTGTACTGAAAACCAAGAGGCACATTCACAAGTATATAAGAGTCACATTTGGTCTATAGTGGAAAAGGGGGTGGGGGGTAGTTGTGTATGGTTTGGATGGTTTTTAAACATATCCCTTAAGTATTTCAATGCCTGGTTAATGGGTAGAGCATTAAACATCACAAATTAAAATGTTTAAGTGCACTCAGTTTGTAGTGACCAAGCAAGACACTGTCCTTCAGGTATCTCCTAGTGTTCAGTTACGTTAGTTTGATTCTCATGCAATTTGATTGCAATGTAGCAATTAAAATCTAAGAACCTGGGTATAGTGGTTTTTTTATACAGTGATGTTTTTTTTTTGTTTGATAGCAATTTTGTATTTGTTTGATAGCAATGTTTTATTTGTTTGATTGCAATATTTTATTAAATGATCACATTCTCTCCTTCAAGGGCTATAACTCCAAGAGGGAATACATTGCTACCCAAGGTCCCCTGCCATCTACGCGAGACGACTTCTGGCGAATGATCTGGGAACAAAACAGTCGTAATATTGTCATGCTGACCAGATGCCATGAGAAAGGAAGGGTGAGTAAGATTCACCATGGTTTAGGATTAGACAAAGCAGATTACCTTATAACCAACAATTTCTCAGAATTAACTGCCCTTTGCCTGTAACCCATGATTATAATAATTTTAACACCCCCCCCCCCATACCCATATTGGCTTTAACAGAATTAATTTCCTTAAAACCTATTATTTGGCATAATCAATATCTGCATAACCCATGGCTTGACAAGATAAATTGATTCTTATTTTTATTCTCATTTTTTCTTTGTTGGATTTTCCATCCATCTCCTGTTTAAAAAATGAAATATCATGTGGTTAGAGCAGTGGGTCGGCAAGCTCATTAGTCAAAAGAGTAAAAAAATCAGCAGCAGGACTATTTAAAAAATTTTTGAGAGCCAAATTTCTTTTCAAGAACCATGTCTTTCGCATTCAAAACCGATTTGTGGCCAAATGGCCGAGCCGCACTCAGGTCACTAAAGAGCTGCATGTGGCTCACGAGTCGGGATTTGCTGACCATTGGTTTAGAGGAAACTATTTTTACCAAGCAATTAAGTGAATTTAGATTTTTTAAAATCTGTACTTGAATAATTTAATTTAGACAGTGTATTTCTATAGTGTAAAATCAACTTCATGCACCTTACATGTAATGCGGTGTGCATAAATGTATGCTTCAGAAAAGAGAAGCAATAACTTAAAATATTAGAATCCCCAAAAGCAACAATGATATCAATTTGGTTGTTGCCAGGAAAAAAGTGACCACTACTGGCCTGCTGACTCAGAGCCCAAGTTTTATGGTGACCTCCAGGTACTTATTCTAAATGAAACACACATGCCAGATTGGACAATCACAGAGTTTAAAGTCTCACATGTAAGTTAGCTTTAATTTTTTTTTTAAATAAGTGAATTTATTTTCTTTTATTCTTTCTTTTTACTTTGCAAGGAAAAAGCTCATAAAAGTTTTGAATTTCCGTTTAGATTGTAACTTTTGATATCACGCTATGTTTGTGACAATTTTTAAATTTTTGAAATTTCTAAATTTTTGTTTACATCTCAGAGAACTGTGCAATGTAAAAAAAAAAGTGGGGTTTGGGGATGTTTTTGAGAGATACATTTCACTTAATATTATGTGAACATTTAAAAGTTCAGGCATGCCATTAATATTATATTAACATTTAAAGTATGGGCATTCACTTGATATTATGTAAACATTTAAAAGTATAAGCATTCAATAGCGAAACAAATAATCAACTTGAAAGTGATACAAACACAAATGCAGCTGACAAAAATGTGCAAGTTTTTTAATCCATGAACTGAAACAAAAATTGTCCCATAAAAATTTATTAGAGAACTGCAGCTTATTTCATTATTTATTTAATAATTTAGTTTAAAATCTGCAGTCCATTGTTATTTCTAAACTGATTCCACATAAAATATGAACCAAAGAAAATATATAAAAGATTACTGTAATTAAACTTTTATGAAGTTTGTTGTTTTTTTGTAACCATCATCCCTATCTTTTTATCTAGGGAGAAAATTCCAAGAATGTAAGACACTTTTATTACTTGGTGTGGCCAGACTTTGGAGTTCCGAAAAATCCAACATCATTAATACGATTTGTCAGGACTGTTAGAGAAAAGCTTATCAGGGAAGGCGGTCCTATTGTCACACATTGCAGGTGAGAACTGTTAGAGAAAAGCTTATAAGGGAAGGCGGTCCTATTGTCACACATTGCAGGTGACAACTGTTGGAGATAAGCATATATGGGAAATATTCCCTATTGTTGCACATTTCTGTCAAAAATACAGGATTTGTTAATTTTTCACCAACTACCATTTGTTCATATGTGTTGCTTTTTTTTTTTTTTTTTTTTTGTGTGTGTGTGCGTGTGTGTCTAACTGGTTTTTTTTTTTCGTTTTTTTTTTTTTTTTTTTTTTTTTTTTTTTTTTTTTTTTTTTTTTTGTGTGTGTGTGCGTGTGTGACTAACTTGGTTATTATTTTCAGCGCTGGAGTTGGTCGCTCAGGAACATTTATTGTCTTAGACCACATATTACAGCTGATACGTGAGCATGATGAGGTGGACATATTTAGTCTGGTCTACAAGCTGCGTAAGGAGAGAGTCCTTATGGTACAAACTGAGGTAAAGTTGGTTTGTCTTAATGTCTTGAAAATACTATACGATATTATTGGGAAATAATATAACAACCAATCATAAGGGTTCAGAATCGATGAATACTTTAGAATAAAGGGGGGGAATCTACGGATTCCATTAAATATAGTGGGGAAATAAAAGGTACCATGAAATTAGGCAGGTAATTAATAGATAATAAATTATGAGGTGTAGAATGAATGAATACTATACATTTTTAAAAAGTTGGCAATCTAAAGATTTCACAAAAGAGATTAGGGGAAACAATGAACAGCATAAACTAATGTGGGGAATCAGTGGAAACAATGTACCTAGAGAATTGATGCGTACAAAAGGGGTGCTGGCATTGTGAGATGTAGTCAATAATCATTTATTGCTCTCCAGATTGTTTTAAAATAATAATTATGTAAGACTTTTCAGCTTGGTTTAGATACACATTTACTTGATCATTTTAATCTTGAGTCTTGGGTAACAATCAGTTGTAAGAGTTCAAAAACATTTTTTTTTTTTGGCAACCTCTAGATGTCTCAGTTTTGTTTCATTCCTTTTTTATCCATTTCTCAATTTCAGCGTTTTAGACCCAGATCAGAATTACAGGAATATTTGTCACTAGTAGGTTCAGGACAGTGCAACTTTGACATGACCTAATTCAAAGATAGTTACATATCAAATCTGATAAAATTTAGACTAAATATTTGACTACCTAACAATGGTGTGGAGAGTTGTTAAGCTAAAAATTTAATGACTTGCTAACCTCACAATGTTCCTCATTAGAGTAATTTTAAAAACTAGTCATTCTGTGGGTTTTGGAATTTTTTTTTTTTAAATGTTGTATTATCCAATAATTCAATGGTTGTGGAGACAGTGCTGTCACCTAATATTAGGTTTTTTTAGTTTAATCTAAAGTGGTAACATGGTGAGCTGTAATCATATGACTGATCTCATTAAGACTCAAGATTAAAATTGGGAAGTCATAGATCAATGATGTTGTTACGTGGGGGAAAATTTAGTCTAATTTTTTAAAAATCTTTGTTTGCTTTTGGTTTTATGCACAGACTTACACCCAATGAAAATCTGAACTTTGGTGAAATTTATCTACTGATATAACACTATTTGAAAATAAATCCACAATTGTTAAGAATTATTCATAATTTATATCTAGATAAATCATTTATTTGAATTGTTTTTTTAAATGTCACTTGTTAAAAAAAACTTGAAATTTAGCCGACCCCCTTTATCTCATGGGGAATTTTCATCTTTCAATTTTGAAATAATAAAATGACATTGTTGGCAAGTAGCAAAGTTTAAAAAATAAATAGATATGCTGCTAGACATAACTCAGATTCATAAGGCCAATACGTTTTCAATCAGTCAATTCAAACAATAGCTACAACGGCCGATAAGTTCCGTTACTTAGACTAGATCTTTGTGATAGAAGTGGAAATGTGTGGATCAGATCCCAATACTGGGCAATTGATTTTATTCCCTTTTTTTTCCTCTTAGCTTCACTTAACAGTGTCCTTAAAAAATCTTTCTTTGCTTTTTTTTTTTTTTTTTCCTTTTTTCTTTTTAAATTTTTTTTGTTTTTTGTTAATTGGTTTTTTTATGTGTGGATCAGATCCCAATACTGGGCAATTGATTTTATTCCCTTTTTTTTCCTCTTAGCTTCACTTAACAGTGTCCTTAAAAAATCTTTCTTTGCTTTTTTTTTTTTTTTCCTATTTTCATTTTAAATTGTCATTGTTTGTGGTCAATTGGTGATTTTAATAACATTGTTACTGTATTGACCATAGCCATTCTAAAGCCGACCTAGTTAACCGTATGCTGTAAAAGATTGGGAGTAGATTACCAGTAGCTGTAAATATGAATCAAACAAAGGTGTCAGAAGTAGATGGTTCCATAATGATAATTATATATTTAAAGTCTATTACAATGTACGTTTGGATGGGCTTCGTATCTCATCCTAGATTTTCTTTGTTACCATATTGCTTACTCTGCCCAATGATAGATATGGTTTTCAGCTTATGTGCAGGTTATACGCCTTTCAGGCTTTTCCTGTCTAAAACTAAGGTTTGGCTTATGAACGGACGGGTCTTATAATCTGCAATCGTGGTTGGTATGATAATACAGTAAAGAGAAATGTTTCTTCTCACTGACAGCAACAATACAAGTTTATCCATGAGTGTCTGATGTGTGTCCTTGAGGGGAGGGAAGAGGACATGACCTATGCCAATGTTGGACAAATCAATATCGGATTTGAAGGTAGGTCTCCAGGGAGGGTAGTCATTACAAGGACATGTGTGGAGGGAACATTTTATTTGCAGACTTCCTCTGCCTTTTTGCACAAAAGTGCCACATTAATTAAAGTGCCCAATGATTCATAATTGAATTAAGAAAGTAACAAGTTCATTTACTAGAGCAGTGATTCTCAAACTTTTTTTTTTGTTCATCACACACCATCCTATGTTCCCGCTGCACACTAATGTACGAGTTGGCAACAGTGCAAGAGCCTCAGTCTAGCATGCGCACAGCAAGTTGTTAGTAGGTTTGCGGTCTTAACTTTAAAAAATGTTTTAGTTCTTAAAGACTATTCTCTTTTCTTTAAAAAAAAAATAATATTTATTGACATCGTTTTAATTACTTGACCGGCAGTATCACAAGGTGTCCAAATTTTTGGGACACGCCAGGCTAATCTGGTGGCAATCCACTGCGCTATTGCACACCTATTAAGAACCACTGCTCTAGAGGGCTGGGGCTTATTCTGGAATATCCACAAGGATCATAACTCTAAATTATGCCAGGTCCTTGTTCAGACTTGACCCAGTCCTAAAAATATTTCAATCTGTTTTGTATGGAGAGAAAAGAATCATGATCTCAAACATTTACTTTTCTTTATATTAAAATCATTTGAAGTTCTTCAATGTTTGGCCTTTTGGCTTTGGATGTTAGTTGACTATCGATACAATCAAACTAATATATAATACAGTAGTATCATTTTTTTTTTATTTACAAAGTTTTGTGTGAGAATATGAGTGTACTCTAGTTTCATCTTAGTGCCTGAAAAGACTCACAGATTTGATGTTACAAAAATGCTAACATAGATTGTAGATTTCGCTCTCTTCCATCTTTAAATTAGATGAAAGCTTTTAATTTTTTTAAATATTCAGATGAAGAAACAGATTTTGGCATAAACATGGAAATTGGTAACAGCACAATTATTAAATCAGTTCTAACTTCACCTTCTCAATTAATCTCTCACTCCCTGAATGATATCACCTATTATTAATCACTCACTGAATAATTTCAAATGTTAATCAATATCTCTTTCAGTAATTTAACCTGTTAATAAATACCTCACTCAATAAGTTCACCTGTCAATTAATCTCTCACTAACAAAGTATATCCATCACCTCACATCGCACTGACCTGTCAATCTCTCACTGACCTGTCAATCAATCTCTCACTGATTAATTTACTCTGTCATTAAATGCCATAGATGTTTCAACATACATATTTAACTTTCAGTGTATTGAACACCTTTTGAATTTTGTCTCATGTCATGGATATTTGAATGAATAAATAACGGTCAGCGCTGATTTGTTGTTGTGGTCATGAGAACTAGCCCGAAGCTATGTTAATATCTGCTCATGTCAGTAAAACACCATACCAACAACAACATGTGCCTCCAATTCCCACCAATTTCTTGTGAAGCACTTCTTTGCTATACAAACACAAGACTGTACTTAATGTTGCAACCTATCTCAGCACTGTCCTCTCTAATATTACTGCATACTGCACTGGTACTAAAAATCTACTCATGTTAACATTATAGTCAGAATCAACTTGGCTTTAACATCCTAAATTCTATTCTAAAGAAAAACATCAAAATTATAAAGTTATTTTTATCATTTTTTAATTTCTTTTTAATTAAATGTTCATCAAATTTTTTGCAATTTGTTTAATCATTGAGCTGCATTACAAACAGGGTTACGGTTAGTGGTTAGCACTCTCCTTTTCCTTGAGACAGAAATGATTTGTAGTTTAAAAGGAGAGTTATTTTTCTTGTGGGCACAATAATTATTCAATAAGTCAATTTGAATGTCCAAACTTTTATTTACCTGATTCATATGCACAGATTTAATCATGGATTCAAGTTCAATTACAGTTGAATTTTTATTTCAGATGATGAAGGTATCAATGTGGAGACCAACTAATGAGGAAACATTTTACCTCAATGCCTTGTCAAACAGAAAATTGTTTCAGCCAGGAAGTAACTGCTAATGGATTAAGTTACAATTTCTTCCCCTGGAGCCCTGTAATAATCCAGCTGTCTGGAAACAACTTTGACAGTGTTCTCATGTAAATTTTGACCTTGTCTACTGAAGTGTTTCACTTCATTCTTACACTCACAGACCAGTTTTAAACTATGTACTGAGACAGCCAACCACACATTGATTTCGTGTCAAAAACCGGATCAAATTTCTACTAATCTGCAAGTGAAAATGGTTGGATTTTTCAGTACAATTTTAAAATTTAATTTTGAAAATTTTAAACCTGTTGTTATAAATAAAAAACTTGTCATCTGTAAGATTTTAAATTCTGAACCTACTTCTGGTGGACCACTGGGTAGTGAGTCACTAACCATTAGGTCACAGGTCGAGTTTTACTTGTCTGTTGATATTAATAATCTTGTGATGTTGTTTCTCACATCTGTAATAATGTTTAGTAAGGCCTTTAACAATCTGTTAGTTACACCTTTAACAACTGTTAGTTACACCTTTAACAATCTGTTAGTTACACCTTTAACAATCTGTTAGTAACACCTTTAAAAATCTTTTAGTTACACCTTTTACAATCTGTTATTTACGCCTTTATAGATCCTCTTAGCACGTTATGTCACTGATTTTTTTTTTCTTTAGTTTAAATGAAAATTACCGGTACCAAAAAAATACAAAATTATTTTAAGCTCCTCAAGTATCTTTTTTTATTTTATTTATTTTAACATTATCAGA